CTTCAGGAAGCACGGAAGACCAGACTACTGAAGTTATGCTGGTTGTTATAGAATGCATGAGGAATGTATTCTTACTTATCACATTAAAGAATACCAAGTCTAAGGGGTGGGCAAATGTTCAGTCAGTAAAGTGCATGCTATTTGAGCATAAGAGCCTGAATTCAGACACCCAAAACTCAGATAAAAGCCAAGCAGAATAACAAATTCATAATCCCAGCACTGGAGAGTAAGAGATAGGCAGATCCTTGAAGCTTATTGGAAAGCCAACCTAATTGAATGAATAAGCTACAGGCTGCATGAGAGACCCCAGTGCTGACCACACCACACACACACACATACACACACACACACACAGAGAGAGAGAGAGAGAGAGAGAGAGAGAGAGAGAGAGAGAGAGAGCTTTGCAGAAGCTCCAGTGGTATTTTGAGACATCTAACAATGCCAAGGCTGAGCAAGTAACTCCAGGTGTCTTTGGAATTAACTTGACATGGAAGCTGTGAGCCTCAGCTTTCCCATGGGTGAATCAAGTTGTTCCCTGAAAATGACAGCACCCATCTCCTCCCAAACTTCTTTCTGTGCCATCTGCAAGTTAGTGATGCTGTGTCTTCCCAACAGGTTTTAGCAATAAGTGAGAAAACACCCATGCAAATGCTGGGGAAATATAAGGTACTTACTATTGTATCTGTGTGTGTTCTAGTATGGATTGGACCTGAAATAACAGGACCCAACTCAAAGAAAACTTTTTCCCTAAGATATCTGTCTTGCCAGGGCAAAGCCATGCTGACTCAAACAAGGACAAAAAGTGCTTGTACGGCCTTTTGAAAGGTTGATTTTTTAAATTATACATTTTCATCTTAAGTGTCAGTTTCTAAAACATTTCATTAGAGTATGATTGATTTGAGTAGATTACTGAGGTTTTCGGTACCTCCTTAAATGTTTGCTCTACTTTCTCAGCTTTGTTCCAGCTCTGTGTCCCAAGCCATGCCTCGAGGTTGCTAATCTTCAGTCTAGACCTTTTCTCTTATCCCATGTTGCAAGTGGGAAGCAGCCTGTTGGATATCTGTCCTTCTTGTTGTCCCCATTTTGGAGGCATTAATCAAGCTACTTACCAGCCTCCTTCATGACTTATCCACATTTAACTGTTCCTTATGGCACCTCATTTGCCCTGAAGAAACAATGTTTTAAGCTACTTTTCAACCTTCTTGCTGATTTCTGAGCCTTCAGCTGTGAGAGACAATACTGATAAAAGAATATTCCACACATCTCCACAAATTCTGACTTGTTGCAGTCCTGTGTGCTATAGGACTGACTTGTGCTACCTGGAGTCCCCTAATTGTTTTCTTATGACCTACGAATATTGCCAACAATAAGAAGAGGCCTTGAAACTAGGTGTCTTTCTCAGAGCCTTCTGGCCCAAACTGACTTTAGAGTATATATACACAGTAATGATTTTTACAGTTTTCAAGGGTGGAAAAAACTGATAATTTAATCAATGATTTCTGTTTTTGAAAGTATCTTTCAATGCGGTATTCCAGTGATTTACCTGTTTTGACTTATTTATTATTAAGAAACAGTTTATTTATTAAGAACATCATCCTGCATAATCCTGTGGTCACTGCCTCTGCTTTCCAGGTGAGAGAATGGGTGCTAGTATTTCAACTATGTGCAAAGGGGCGGGACTAATCAGGAGGCAGATGGAATTTAAGGTGTTCACCTGGCTTCAGGGTTTGTCACGTAATCTCTTCTGCCTGTTGGGCACTCCCAGGATTGGGTTGGTCTTTGCAGCTTGATGTTTTACCCAGTTTCCACATGAGAAACTGAGGCTTTAAGAAGTGAAATGATGGGACCCAAGTTTAACATTTGCTTTTGAGTGAGTGAAACGCAGAGATAGAGTTGAGTGTGCCTCTCTGCTTGTCTTTCCCTCTGCAGTACCAGGGTTCTGACAGCAAAGGTTCAGATCCTAATTTGCAGCTCAGAAAAAAATCAATAGACTTTCCTTAGGGATCCTAAGGGGTCAAAGTGGGAATTCTTTGCCGGGTATGAGATTAGGTGAAAGAGATCAAAGAATCATTGAGTAAAGGTATCTCCTTGTGTCCCCCCTGCACATCAAGCTGGTACCCTGGAATAACAATTCTGCTAGCTCTAGAAGAGCTGGCCATGTTCACCTTATGAAGAGCACGTGGAAGTTATGTATTGAACTCATGCAGCCCAGCCTGGCAGCCTCAGAAAACACAGAATCCAGACAGATTTCTGTTGTTAGAGCCTTCACTTCTGGGCAAGACCAGCTTGAATTCTGGTAGCTCAATTGGGGTCATGCCTATGCTGTGACCTGCTCCCAGCCCATCATATTTATACATGTATCAGGTCAAGATGGATGATATTTACATCATTTAAATAAATATTAATATCACCTGAATCTCAGTAAACCTTTCACAAGAGACATTCAGGTCACTATCTGATCATCTAAGCCCCCAGAGAGAAGCAATCACTTTGCAAAGCTGTGAGAATGTCCCTGGCCTTTTAGACCTCATCTGGGCAGGATCTGTGTGACAGTATCTGGGGAAAGCTAGCAGGAGCTTTAGACAAGTGGGGGGTAAGTAGCATGTATAATCCCACTCCAGTTTTGAAATATTGTCCTCCTGGATCCGGTTCTAAATTATTTGCCATCTGTCTCCCATTGCTTTTGAAGTCAGATTTTTTTAGACATTAGTGATAATATCAGAACTCAGAACTATTGAATGCTTATTGTATTCCAAACAATGAACTTCAGCATGACATTGCTCTGTCCCACCCTACATAAAGACACCACTCTTTCTTTTCCTTCCTGGAGAGCAACCAGTCTCAGAGGAGCTGCTTGTCTAAGGTCACATAACCACCAAATGAAATGGTCGCATCCACATTCAAACTGGTTTGTTCACATCTAATTTCATGTCAAGTAGATAGACTCAACAATATCATTTTGTAAAAAGAAAAGTGATTTGGATAAAATTGTATAGTTAGAAGAAAATTAGGGTGTGCAACTATGAGAAAGGGAAGAGAGAGATTTTTTTAAAAGTTGAGCGAATGGGGAGTCTATAAAGTGGTTTTGAGAGTCCCTTCTCATCCATCGGATGAGGCTGAATGGGCATCTCATTCATGAGTCATTAGAGCTAGAAGCTTATTTTACACACGAGGAAATCAAGGAACAGAGAAGGAAGTAACTTGTCCAAGGTTATAATAATCATAAACATTTTCGTTATTTCCTCAGAGATTTGTTACCTCTTATTTCTTCACAAGATATCTGGGGACATCTACAGACCAAATCTTAAATGAAATAAAACATTTTACTGTGGTTCATTTAAGACAGTTCAGTGGTGCTCAGCACACAGTCTGTCCTAGCAAACAGAAGTCCCAGAAAACTGACAATTTAGCGCAGTGACATCAGCATGATTATTCCCAGAATCATCAAAACCTTCTGGTTTCCAAATACAAAATGTGAATGTGCCATTCTTGGGAGTAGGACTGCTCCCTTCAGTTTAGATGTTGTGTCTATGGTTCATGTGCCTCATGAGGAATTTTTGAGGAGTGGATGGGGGCTAGCTGTTTATATGTTGCACCATTTGTGGACCATGAACTGTGTGTGAGATGAAGACCACATGTTCTCACCATCATCCTAAGTGCCTCAACATGTTTGTTGATTGAATGATGCAGATGAATGAATGTAAAAATCCAGTCGTGTTTCTCATCAATGGAGCAATGTAAAGCATGAACTGCAACAGGAACTTGACAAACATGGTACCAATTCCCCTCTACTATCATTGTTCAAGGTGCAGAACTGACTAAAGTCTACGATGATTGTCTTGGAACATGTGTGTACTTTTCCGGAGTCAGGCAGAAATAGCATTGGAAAGGTTTTTGATATATTTTTCAGCTAAGCCTGTGTTTTCCCATTGACATAAACTTTCCAGCCATGACATTGTTGTGAAGGCTCCACCCACAATTGAGGCTTTGAAGATCCGTTCCTTTACTTTTCCCCCATTTGACACTGACTGTTTATTGTGCTGCCTGGCTAAGAGATGAACATGTAAACAGCACCATCCTCCCTGGTCTCATAAATTCACAGTGACATTACTTAGCTGGGCTAAGACTCCTGGTTCTCAAGTCACATGACCAGGACTCAACTTCCATTCTGGTTTCATTATTGTGTGACATTGAATCCAGGTCCTTAACTTCCCAAATGTGTGTGCCATCAAATGCGAAGTACAGAAAATGACAATAACATGTATCATTACAATGAGATCATACAAATACCTAGTAGCAAATGTGGTAAGCACCAAAAAGATTATCTACTGAGCATCTTACATTTCTACTGTAATTGTTTTTCATATAATAATATGAACCTAAACTACTTAGACAATAGCAATAAAGGCAGTGAAGTGAAGATACTGGGACTGTTTTATGAAAAAAATGGTGGTGGGTTAGAATTTGGGAAGAAATCAGATACCAGGAGGAAAGCAAAGATGATTTCATATTTTTGTATGAGAGACTTGTTGAGGGATGAGCATGTATACAGAGGAGAATGGTATACTCTGTCTGTGGGTGGCTCTAAAAGGAAGTCCATTTGGGTGGAAAATCTGTCACCCAGAGAGGAGGATTTTAAAGTCACAGAGAACATCCACAAAATTATCTCATGTGTGGAAACCAATCCAGTGAATACTTGCACTGTTGTCACTAAATGTAATAACACTAAAGAGAATCTATGGATCTTCTAGAATGTCAGATGCTTTGGATTTATTAAAATAAATGCCTCAGTTTGATAAATGGGACACTTACTTCTAAAGCACAGGACAACTCAGGCTATGATTGTCTTGTGGACTTGCCTTGGGGTGGCATCACACCTGGGTCTTAAACCCGCCTTTGATGGCATGTGGAATGAATTGTGACCTATGAAGCCATACAACGCCCGCATGCAGTGATGCTAGGTCAACACAAAGTCAAGTAAAGACGCTATCTACATTTACCTACTCTGATCCCAATTGGCAGCAAATAGAAGGAGAATCTTCCTGCCATAGTGGTCACGGTTTTCCAGCACTCCAGGGAACCCGTCAATCAAAGCCCTCTTAATGCCAGGATCGTCTGCCTTGAAGTTTTTGAACATGTCCAGGTTTAGCTGGCGGTACTGAAAGTACTGGGCCAGGAGTCTGAAGGCATCGGCTTGGTGAAACTTCCTGGCTCGAAGAAAACGCAGGATGAAGGCATCATCTGTACGTAAAAACCCAATGTCTGGCCTGGTGATGATCATGTCTCTGACCTGTTGAATGTCCTGATGTAAAACATCCGGGTTTTCATTCAGTTCCAGGCGGGCTTTCTCTATCGTGTCTGGACTCAGCCCAGCCTGCAAATGTGTCATCTTGGCCAAATCTCCTTCCCGACTGCTTAAGCGCTGAGGTTTGGGAAGAACAGAAACTGGTCCCATTCACGTGAGAGCGTGCTGCATCCGTGGCCCATTCGATGCTTCTCCTACAAGACTGCCCCCAAAACAGACAAGCCCGGAGTCTTCTTTCCGTCCTCGGAGAACAGCCGGACATCCAGGCTCTATGTGGTGATGGCCATCCAAAAGAGAAGGAAAACCGAGGCCATTGCGTACTGAAAAACAAATGCACACAAGAGAAACGAGAGAGATGATGCAGAGAAAATAGGCACAAATGAATTGTTGCCTAGATAGAAAACTGCATATTTGAATGAGTCTGATGAGTGCATATCCTGTAACTAAGCTACATATAATCCGTTAGATAGGACATTAGGCCTTATTATCAACAACTTAAATATTTAATATTCAAATATTTGAAATACATTCACAAAATTTTTAGTGAGGGACTCCTTAAGATAATGCTTTGTGATCAATTTAGCAATAGGGTACTGTTTTATTATTGAAAATTTTTGTTGTTGTGGTTGTTGCTTTATGGGACTGTTCACAGCCTTGATATGACAGACATGGCTACTGTACAACTGGTTGTTTCACATTAGCCTCATTTCTTAGAAGTATCTCAGAGAAATCTGCCTCTCATAGCTTTTAAGGGCCGCCATTCACAGTGTCACAATACTCAGAGAATACTAAATGTCACCGTAACTTGACCCCAAGGTGCCTAATTAATGGTAAGAGTATTGCCACAACGGGATACATTGTGGCAGCCAGGTACAGGCATGCAAGTTTGACCTTCAACAAGGGCATCCTGAGAGAGGTTTACAGGCTCATGTAGGATTTGTTATTCTGACTTCTTCCACTCCCACAAAGAAACCACAGATGTGCGATGCTCTCAGTCTGCCCTCTGTCTCATCCATCTGGGCTCTGAAACCTGCCCATTTTCTGTAACTTATCTATTGTACTGAGATACTGTTTTTCATAGGATTGTCTTCTTTCTACTCCATATAAATGGTAAACAAAGAAAAGAAAGAAAATCAGCTGTATTATTTGCATCTACTTTTTGTTTTGTGTATTAATGCTTAACCTCTCACAGGTATCTGTTGGAGTTATCTTTCAAGTTTTCAAAAACAAAAGACAGGTGTGTATATGTTTAAAACCATGCTTTGTATTGACCTAGGAGAGCTGACTCTGCCCCTTACCTGAGGGTGACGATCCCAGTGGGCTAGACTGACCAGCTCAGCTACCACCCAGACTCACGTCCTGAGCCTTGGGTTGGCCCACCCTAACATCTGTGACCTGCTGGAGTATGTGAAGGGATCAGTCCTGAAGAGTGATAACCACAAGATCCCCATGACTCAGGGCACAGGATAGTTGAGAGGAGTTTCAATGAAGAACCAGCAATGATGTTGTGCAGAGGCCTTGAACCAGACCAATGACTCATTGCAATGAACTTTTGCAGGAGAAGATGATTGGACAAAAGTGTACAATATGTGGCACATGGCAACTCCCATTGCCAGTAGACAAATGGAGAGGTGTTGGAGAGGCAGGAAAGACGGAGGAGAGAGGTATTTTTTGTTTGGTTTGCTTTTAATTAATTAGGGGGAGTTCTTTTGGAGGTTCTTATGGGGGTATACTGCAGGAATGAGAGGGTGGATACAGAGGGACTGGGAGGTGAGAAGAACTGGATGGCATGATGCGAAATTCCCAAAGAATCAGTAAGGGATTGTGAATATATATATATATATATATGTGTGTGTGTGTGTGTGTGTGTGTGTGTGTGTGTGTGTGTATACATACACATGCATGTTTCACATGTTTTGCAGGTGCACAATATTTATTGCAAGAGGCAAAATATTCACTTCCCATCTAATCATTATTGATAGTGCTTCATTATACAAGATCATTCAAAAGACAAAATGCATGTCCTGCTTAGATGTCTACACATGTCTGCTTCATGGTGGGGGAGATAAAGAGCACTTTGAGTAACTGATATTCATCATTAATATAGTAATATAAAAACCGCATATTTAAATGCATTTTCTCTGTAAAATAACATGTGTGAATAAGAAACAGCTTTATTTTCATTAATCTTAAAGACCCACAATAGTGAACTTTTCTAGATTGACGGAAACTTCAAATTCTAGCTAGTTTGGTATTCACCCAATGTTAAAATTCCTTCTATAGCCTAACCACAAGCCTTCAAAAGGCTGCCTCGTTTTGGATTTCCTTCTTCCACTTCATCTGTACACTTGCCACACCCCTAGACACACTGCTGAACATGTTCTCACAAGCCAACTAAAGATGGAGGTATAATTGTTATCTAAATGTAGACACGAATGACAGACACTGTGTTGGCTACTTTACGTCAACTTGACACTAGCTCAAGTCATCTGACAGGAGGGAACCTCAATTGATGAATTCCTTCCATAAGACTGAGCTATAGGTAAGCCTGTACAGAATTTTCTTAATTAGTCATTGATATAGGTGGACCCAGCCCATGCTGGGAGTACCCTCCTGGGCTGGTGGTCATGAGCGTTATAAGAAAGCATGAGGAGCAAGTCAGTAAACAGCACCCTTCCACGGTCTCTGCATTAGCTCCAGCCTCCAGGTTCCTGCTTTCCTTGAGTTCCTGCCTTGGCTTCCCTCAATGGACTGTGAGTCAGGATATGTGAGCCAAATAAGCCCTATCCTCCCCAAGTTGCTTTGGGTCATGGTGTTTCAACACAGCAATAGTAACCTTAGCTAAGACAGACACTAATGATGATGATGATGGAACAAACAGATACTGGAAGAGTACCAAGAAATACAGACAGATGGTCACCTAGTATTGAATGGCATTCAATATTACTGCATCCAAGAGACAATTTCCAGTTTCTAGTTTAGGTGACATCTATCTGTATTTGACACCGACTGTTTCTTTCTTAGAGCACCTTCTCCTTCCCTCATTCAGTTCTCTGGCTACCCTTCCCCCAAGCTCATTATTTTCCCTCTGTGCCAGCCAATGCCAGAACGTTCAGGATCCTGCACCATTATCTGTCTGCCTGCATGCAAATAGCTTCAGTCTCTAGCTTCCTCCTGATCTCCAGGCTCCTCATTCAGTTGCCCACTGAGAATCTCTCTGCAGATGTCCTACAGATTCTATAAACACATAATATTCAAAATTGAACTAACAGTTCCCACTCTGAATTTGATCCTCCAGCTCCATCTTTTTTTGTGGATGATGTCATCTTCCATGCAGATTCACATACTGGAAATATGAGAGTCAACTTTTATTTTACCCTCTCCCTCAGGATCTCTACCAGACTTTTTAAATAGCTCTCAAATCTGCCCAGCTTCCCAGCTTCACAATTGCTGGCATAGTTGAGACCATCATCACTACAGTGTTTAGACCCAAAATAGGCTTTCTCCCACAGCCTTTGCTGCCAGTCTATGAGTCCTCTGTATTCCCATTATTCTCAGTATTACAACAGAAATATACTCATATCACTCTGTGATTATCATCCATTGTTAGCTTCTAACTCCCTCTCATTCTTCAGAACTCCATCAGAAAGTCTCTTTCCCCAGGAAACCATCTCCAACCTCAGAAATCAGAAATCAAAAGATCTACACACACTTAACCCTACCATGTTTTTATTATCATCTTCACCCCCCCATTTTATCCAGAGTCTCCTATAAAAGGGGGAGTTTATTATTTATCTGTGAATCTTCAGTGTATGTGACATAAACAGGGGCAGCTCTGTGGGCAAAGAAATTCATTGTAACCACTGACATTTTCTCAGTGCCTAGGACAGGACACACAGGGCAGCAGATGCTACCAGTTAAACAAAGCATCAATGAAAACAGCAGACAAAATGCTGTTTTTACAAATTAGTGCTTCCCCTATGTCTACAGTGGGCTATTTTCCCTTAAATAAAGCCTTGTAGCTAACTTTTAATTCCCTCCCTTACCTCCAAAGAATTCCCCTGTCCCCAGAGAATTTCCCCTAGGTTCATTATATTTCAGATCATGGTCTCACTGAAGCATTCTGGGTAATGTTCACATTTCCAAGCCAAGGAGCACAGTGCTAAGAGCACAAAGCATAGCAACAGCTTGTTCCCCGAACAAGATTTAAAGCTGCTTTGGAACAAGGTACTTACCTCACAGTTCAGGGAACCCAACATTGTTTCCTAGATAAATTACCATGGGTTCAAGGGGAGAATTGAAGTTGCATTTTTCATGCCCTGCCTCCATAGAGAGCTATGCCTCCAAACTATAATATCTGAAATAAATTTGCTCCAATCTACATCTTTATTCTGTGTTCAGCATGCAACAGAAGCTTCTGGTGAGAACAGTCCAGCCAGGGTCACTGGATTGCATCCTTAAAATGATAAATATGTTTCATTAAAGGTAAATCCTTCATACCAGAAGGCTGAATAGCCTGCTATTTAAATAATACCAATCAATGCTAGTTAAGGTACAAGAAAAGCTATGTGGAGATTGTTTATCACAATGTAGCATTTTCAATCAACCACAAGCTTTAGTTCTCACTTGACTTTTCAGAATTATAAATAGGTTACATTGGACTTGATGTCCTACTCATAAGTGGGAGTAGTTTCTTCTCCTGATGGTATTCACAATAATGATAATAGCTACAATTCTTTATTTATTATTGCTTTGTTCATTATATCCAATACACTCAGATATTGTCTTTATATGGTATAATACCTTTTAGAATAACCATATGAAATGAATAGAAACTGAGATGCAAAGAAATTAAATGACTTGCCAAGAGACAGACATCGAATGATAGTCCAAATAATCTCTCTGGGCTTCATTCTCGTACTGGTTTGCCTCTGCTGTGGAGCAGAGGGCTAAGTATTTGCTACATAACATCTGTATGGCATTCTTCACTCTCCTTCCGTCACTTCTCTTCCATACTAACGCTGCTATAAGCCCAAATCTGTCTTTGGGTTGCCAGGCTTTCTTAGACAGTCTAGTATTGCATCTTATAGGTAAGTGACCATTACCTTCGACTTCTTTTTAGCATGGTGGGGTGACTGGGACTGTTTAAGATGCAGTTCCTTGTGCTTTTCCAACTATCACATATTTTGCTCTTCTTCTTAGTATTTTCCTTTGCCAACATAACAAATCAAAGTCCAGAAAGACTCACCCTTTGCCATGCCTCACAGAGTGCCAATTGTGGCATCACCAGTAAAGTCAGCTCACCACCCAGAGAGGGAGC